AGCAAAAGAGCCAGTGCAGAAGGGTCTGGTGGGAGAAATGGGGAGGGTGAAGGCTAGGGATCTTCCTCTCTCTTCTACTACTGAAGGGCAGAGGCACGTGACCCCAGCAAGGGGCCGCAGTCTGTAGTAGCTACTTGGATCCCATCATGGAGAAGCCAGACCACTCCAGGGCTGGTTAGCTGGCTTTGGCAGGTGGCGGAATACTGGTCATAAGAATAGAGACAGACCGTTCCAATTTTTGTGCTGCTTGTCTCCCGGCTCTAGTACCTCCTCATGATTGACCTTCTCCTTGGCTTCATAATCCGAGACGACTTTGTTAGTGATGCGGGAGAAGCCAAAGACTCGGAGGGCCCTGCCGCCATAACGTCTGGTACCGTGTTCGTACACCCACAGCATCCGCCCCCGGCTCCTGCAGCAGCCGACACTCGGCCCGTCTCAAAGGACGGGCCTGCCACCATCACACAGGTGCCGTCCTCCCGGAAGCTCTGCTCCCCCATCTGTTTCCAGGCCTTGTGAGCCTTCTGCTCCATATCCCGGTCGTAGGCATCGGACGCGGCAGGGAAACGAAGTCCAGCCTTTCGTCACTGGGCCCTGGGAGAGGTTCACACCACTGGAGCCGGGTAAGTTGATGTGATCACGGATCAGCATGGTATCTCCGACCTCAAACTCAGGGTTGAGTCCTTCAGCGGCACTGGTGACCACCAGGGCGTCCACGCCCGTAAGGAAGAACGCCCTCACTGGGGATGTCACCGTCCAGATCGAGTAGCCTTCATCCACGTGGAACCGGCATCATCACACAGGCCCTGCCATTCAGGAACCCAGGCACCAGTCGACCAGCATGACCAGGCGCTGCGCGTCGGGGAAGTTTGGAATCCCGCTGTCGTCAAAGCTCTGGGTGTCACTTATCGGCCAGATTTCCTAACCCAGAGCCACAGATGACTGCCACTTGAGGTCGGTGCTTGGCGTGGCGCAGAAGCCGTTCGCTCGTGTTCTGATCATCATCATACGTAAATCGGTTCTCCACGGTGCCGCCGCCGCCCTCTCGAGGCGCCTGCGCTTGGCCTCTGGGATCCGGTCCGCGGAGCCGCGCCGCCCCGCGCCGTACTCGCCGGGAGCGCTGTGCACGGCCTCCGCACAGTTACTCGCGGCTGGCTTCTCTCCCAGCCCGGAGTCCCCAGCCGATGGCAGCCGAACACGCAAGCCAGCCCCCCTCTGCATGGTGACACGGCCCGATTCAAGAACCGACATCTTTGTAACACTGAGCGTTCCAGCGCCTGAACAGATACAGCCTTGACCAAGAACGGTCACGTCGGTCTTGAAGAAGAAAAAGAAATAGGACTTAACTCTACCAGGTGAAAAGGTATTTTAACGCTATGGTAATTAACCGGTTTGGCATTGGTGTAAGCAAAGACAGTAGACCAATGGAACACAAGGAAAGGCCGCGACTTCTAGACACCCCCCTCCCCTGTCCGTCTTCCTAGAACAGCGCGGTGATCCAGACGCCTGGTCTAAGGGCTGCCAACGGACTCAGTCCTGCAGTAAGAGACTTCAGAGGACCAGCTTGACCTCCAGGAATCCTCGGATGTTTCCTGAACATTTTAAAGTAAACTGCGAGAAAGCACTAAAGAAATTTTAGGTATTTTGCCTTGTGGAAAAAGAAGTGCTTGATTTATCTTGAAAATTATGGAAGACTATCGTGTGGGCAGGGGCTGAAACCTGCTCTGTAATGATCACAGGGAACCCAGCTGCACCGGTGTGTAGAAGCTACAGAAACACACCTCTGTTCACCAATGGTTCAAAATCTTCAACCTGTATCTTGTTCCACTTTTTCAAACTCCGTGATGTGGGCATTCTCTACTTCCGTTGTGAAGGTAAAGTGGAAACAATCTCATTGTATTGATGTTCAGAGTGACTTTTTTCTCAGATTTTGCATTAAGGTAATTAGGTTAAAAAAAAGTGTGTTACCTGGTGAGTTTCTAAGTAAATCGTAACTAAATCAGTAACTCTAGTTTTGGTAACTCTTCAGAATTAGTTACAGAAATCTTAGGGTTTTAAGTACTACTATGTTTTATTATTCAACTATGCATCTCATCTTTGAACCCCTTCTACAGTATTCCTGCCAAATTTACTACCTTATGGCAGAGTTTATTCCAGTTTAGGACCCCTTTTAAAAGTACAGACTTTTCCCACAGGTAAAATATCTTAACTTTCTTCAGTGTTTCCCCCGCAAAGCTCATTTTATTATTTATTTATTTTTTATTTAAATTCCAGTTAGTTAACACTCAGTGAACTCTTAGTTTTGGGAGAATTCAGTGATCCATCACTTAGGTACAACACCAGTGCTCATCACACCAGGTGCCCTCCTTAATGCCCATCCCTTACCCCCTCCCTCCATCAACCCTCAGTCTGTTCTCTATCGCACAACACTCATTTTTTAGATGTTCAGGAAACATCCGAAGATTCCTGGAGGTCAAGCTAGTCCTCTGGGGTCTCTTACTGCAGGACTGAGAGTCCGTTGGCAGCCCTTAGACCAGGCGTCTGGATCACCGCGCTGTTCTAGGAAGACGGACAGGGGAGGGGGTGTCTAGAAGGCTCGGATTTGGGCTCCATACAGAGGCCTTTAACATTTCACAACAGAGTGTCGGGCCTGCTACCCCCTCCAGTTAACTGGTGTCTGAAGATGGAAGCTCTCCAGTCAACAACACAACACATCCACACTTGAGGATGGTCCAGAATTTAAACTGGAACTGCCATCTTGCTGCATTCTCAAGCTGGGATGACTTTGAGTCTAAAGTCTGAAAGCACACCACAGTCTGTGGGTGAAACAGACGTTCTGAACATGTACATATATTTTCTAAAAGCTTACACATGCTGTTGTGAAATATAAAACCTCAGAATTTCTAGGACAGCATGACAGTATTTTGTCGAGCATTAAAGTACAACTATTGCTGTGTGTGCATGGGTGGGAGAGAGCATGTTGCTGAAATTTGTTGACCACCAAACAAGGGGTTCTCATCCTCAAAAATAATTGGAAAACCACTGCCAATTCTCCAGACGTATCCTGAACTCTGTCCTTATGTCATTTTTTTTTTCCTCACCGGAAAGCCACATATCCATAATTTTGTCCTCCACAGAGGCAATTTCATTGAGTTATGTCTTCAACGTTTTCATCTTGGCTTTCACAAACAGTATGAGAAACGGCCACATAAAGAATATAAAGTTTCCTGTAGAAACTGAACCTAAGGAACAATGTTTCAGTCCATCCTTGTTTAAAAATAAGAGACCATGTAATCCCCTCTGGAATTTTACTAGAAAATCGCATCTCTTGAACACCTTGTTTTTCTGTATTAGATAATGTATAACCATTTCCCAAAAGGTTTTTTTTCTGAAACAAGAGCCCATGAAGACGCTTCAAACAGGATTGTGTTGTCAATTACTTTTGGAAAGCAATGCTTTATTGCTCCTTTAAGATTTAGATTAGCATATTATAAACTCTGAGAAGTCTTTAAGGGAATTTAAAAAACCCACCTAGCTAACATTTCCTAGTCATTATTTTAAAAGCCTTAACTTGTAAAACACCTTTGAGAAATGTTGGATAATCTATTGCTCATCTCTCTCTCTCTCTTTTTTTATTTTTTACCAACCAAGGAACTTAGAACTAAATTTAATTCTCAATTATGGTCATTATGTTAATTAGGTTGACACATTTGCATCTTCTTCTAGGATGAAATTTTTTTTTTTTTAGAGTCAGGGGAGGGAGAGGAGGGGGAGAGAGAATCTCCAGCAGACTCTCCACTAAGCGGGGAGCTCAATCTCACGACCCTGAGGTCATGACCTGAGCTGAAATCAAGAGTCTGACACGTAACCAACTGAGCCACCCAGGCGCCCCTAGGATTTTCAATCTCTAGTTAGCAGCTTTGTTGACTGTGGGTATTTATTTTAATTCTGTCTATAAAAAGTACTTGTAACATCTGAAAGAGAAAGGGTATATGTTAAGAGATATCGAAGGACTTGAAAAGATAGAGGCAAATTTCTAATACATTTGAAAGCAGCATTTCATACCTCATACAAATAAATATAGCAAGTATTTAAGAAATCAACACATTGACGTTTTCATGTATTTGTAACAAAGTGAGATGGGCTTCATGCTCTTTCTGTATGTAAAGTTACTGGAGCAGCATGTAGCTGAATCCCACTTATCTCTAATTTCCCAATCTGCCCCTGTCCTGCCTTCCTTTTTTTTTTTTTTTTTTAAAGATTTTATTTATTTATTTGACAGAGAGAGACACAGGGAGAGAGGGAACACAAGCAGGGGTAGTGGGAGCGGGAGAAGCAGGCTTCCCGCCGAGCAGAGAGCCCGATGCGGGGCTCGATCCCAGGACCCCGGGATCCTGACCTGAGCCGAAGGCAGACGCTGAACGACTGAGCCACCCGGGCGCCCCCTGCCTTCCTTTCTCATCCCCATCTCAGAAATCCCGATCCCACATGGAAAAGTTCCATTCAGTCTTTAAGTTAAAACAAAAACCTTGCTAAACATGATCAGTATTTTATCAACCAAAACATGCTCGGTGCTGAACTGAGTTGTAGCCTCACATCTAAGGGATGTGTTGCAGGCTATGGGAAAGGTGCAGGCCCGAGCCTCTGGGGGCATTTCTGCAGAACTTACTAGCTAAGTGATCCTCAGCAGGTTTCATCTTTTTATGCCTTAATGTCCTCATCCTGTAGGGATGTTTTATGGATTAAATGAATTAAAATAACGAAGTCGTTAGAAGAGTGGCCGGCATGCGGCAGGCACTAGAAGTATTTGATATTATTATTACTGACTGGCATTCCTGAGTGGAAGTGAATGTGGTCGCTACAACACTGCAGTGGAAGGTCAGGCTCTGGGGAGCTCGGTGGGGACCCAGCAAGCCAGGAAGAACCAGGCTCCGGAGCAGAAGGAGAAACGGGGAAGTGCAAACACAGAATGGCTTCCCCAGGGGTTGCCGGTCAAACACCGACTACTGGGAAGGTCGGACGGGTCCTGGGGAGAGGGCCTTCCCACTCTCATCAAGTGTGTGGGCTCTCCCTCCTCTGTGCCTTCTTTTCTTATGTCCTGTGAGGTTTGCGCTCACTCTGAAAGCTTTTCCACACTGCTCACACTCATAGGGTTTCTCCCCCGTGTGAACCCGCTGGTGCCCGACAAGAGCCGAGCGCTGGCGGAAACACGTGCCGCACTCGCTGCAGGGGTAGGGCTTCTCCCCGCTGTGGATCCGCCTGTGCTGCGTCAGGACGGAGCTGTGATGAAAGGCCTTCCCACACGCCGCGCACGCGTACGGTTTCTCCCCGGTGTGGATTCTCTGGTGGTTGGTCAGGTTGGACTTCCCGCGGAAGGCTCTCCCACACTGGGAGCAGGCGAACGGCTTCTCTCCGGTGTGCACCCGCTGGTGGATGGTGAGGCAGTGCCGGTCCTGGAAGGTCTTCCCGCAGTGCGCGCACGGGAACGGCTTCTCCCCGCTGTGCGCGCGTTCATGAGCCCGGCGCCTGCAGTTGTGCCGGAAGGCGCGCCCGCACTCCCTACAGGGGTAGGGCTTCTCCGGAGCGTGGGTCCTCCTGTGCCGGGTGAGCTCCGCCTGGCTGCTGAAGGCTTGGCCACACTGAGGGCAGCCACCGCCTCGCTCCCGCGCGTGCGTCCTCATGTGCTTGCTGAGGTCCGAGCTCCGGCTGAAGGCCCTCCCGCACGCGCCGCACGCGTAGGGCCGCTCCCCGGTGTGGATTCTCGCGTGTTTGGTGAGGTCCGAACTCCCGCTGAAGGCCCTCCCGCACTCGGCGCACTCGTAGGGCCTCTCCCCGGTGTGCGTTCGGCTGTGGAGGGTGAGGCAGTGCTTGAACTGGAAGGCCTTCCCGCAGACGGCACACTCGTGCGGCTTCTCCCCGCTGTGGACCAGCTGGTGCAGACGGAGACGGCTCCTGCTCTCGAAGGTCTTCCCGCACGCGGGGCACCCGTGAGGCTTCTCCCCACTGTGCGCTTTCCGGTGGCGGCAGAGTGCGGATGGGCTGCCGAAGGCCTTCCCACACTGGGCGCAGCGGAAGGGCTTCTCCCCTGTGTGGATGATCTGGTGTACCGAAAGCTGGCGTCTGGTCTTGAACGCTTTCCCGCACTCGTGGCACACATGGGGCTGCTTGCCAGAATGGACGCGCTCGTGGAGAAGTAGGTCCGCATGCCAACTGAAGCTCTTGCCACATTCGGCACACTGGTGGGGTTTCCGTTCTGTAAGGACTCCATTATACGGAATACGCTCCGGGTCTGGATTGAAGTTTTTTCTGAGGACCTTTCGGGCCTTTCCTTCATTGCAGGTCACCTGCTCCCCTCCCAGTGTCTCCATCCCGGGCGTGTCCTGTGGATTCTCTAACTTGACATCCTCGACATGAGCTCCTCCAGCCTCAGGATCCTGGGACAGCGCTTTCAGGAGACTTTTGACTTGGACCCAGCAGACTTCCCCGCTCTCAAACACCTCCTGTTCTGAACTTGCCTTCTCAGTCCCCAGCCAGGTCCTGTCCACTGATACTTAAGGAAATAAATGTCACATGTTCAGAGGTCGGGAAACATGGCAGATGGGAGAGGTGAACGGGTGACGCCCTATGAAGAGTACGTGACTTTCCCAGGCTGGAAGAGTGCTAGGTTATGGCCAAAGGCTGCAACAGGTTGGTATAATGAGAAGTACCAAGATAGCTCAGACTCTGTAAACTTTACAAAAATCCTTAGAAACCTACTTGTTCTCGAGAATCTCACGGTACGCCTAGTCACCTCGGTCAGGAAACTGAGTCACATCCAACCCTCTTCATCCTTCAGATTTGCTCAGCTGACATTTTACAAATTCCACCTGCGACATGGACTGCAGTCTAACCCCCAGGGACCCGTCTGCTCTGCAGTGTAGCTCTGCCCACCTGGATGCAGGGCACATCCGATCTGGGCCCCCCTCACCCAGACCAGGCCAGGTTCTCTCTCCTTAGACTCTGACTCAGGCTCTGACAACAGCCAGTGCTGGGGGGATGGTGCACCGCCCAGGGTAGGGAGCGTCCTGCCATCGGCAGCAAGCAGAGCGGGGCAGTCAGCCAGGAAGGAGGGAAGCAGACCTGCAGAGGGGACGGTGGGGCGAGGGGCCTGATGTCCCCCTGCTCTTAGCTTCCATGACACCCCTGAATAATAAATTCTCATTGTTTTGCCTAAGTTAGTTTGAGTTAATTTCTACTGCTGGCAACCAGAGTTCTAGTAAGTCTTCTCTGAGATACATCTCAGCTCACCCCTTCCTCTCTATTCTCCTGCCAGGGCATTCTTGCTCATTAACTGCAACCCCACCCCGTACTGTCCTTTAATCTGCCTCCCCTCGAATCTGTGCTCTACTCTGCTTCCAGATTTTTCTTTCTAAAAATCAAATCTAATCATGCCACTCTTCAGCTTAAAATGTCTCAGTGGCACTGCGTAGTTAAGCAGACAGAAAGGAGGTAAAGCGTGCAGGTCAGAGCCCCAGCTCTGGAGTGGGGCCATCCGGGCTGAAATCCTCGCTCTGACCCCTACTGACTGTGCAACCTGCGAGGTTGGCTGCCTCTCCCTGGGCCTCAGTCGCTCATCTGTAAGATCGGGTCATTTTACGTACACTAAGGTGTGTAAAGCACCGGCCACACGGACGTGAATGCTTCGTCAGTGTCTCACTACTACTGTCAGAATAAGGTTCAAAGTCTGCAGTTTGTCAAAACCCCTCTGAATCATGACCTTGCTCCTTGCCCCTGCGCGCCCCACACCGGCCGCCTGGAGCCCACTGCCCTGGTCATGCTGCGCACACTTTATGCTTTTCCTTCTTAGCACTTCCCCACATTCTCAGAATGCCTCTTCCCTCCTTCCGCTAAATCATCTGACTTATGCTTAGTTCATGGTCATCCCTTCCACAGCCACCCGGTCCCCAGTCAGATTCAGACGCTTCTCTTCCGTGTCCATACATCCAGGTACGTATCTGTGACTCTCGCTATTCTGTGTCATCGCTCACTACCTGCCTTCCCTGCTAGGCAATAATATTTGACGCCATCTCTAGTACCTTGCCGAGTGCCTGGTGTACAGTAGTTGCTCAACTACTGTTTGTTGGGGGCGGGCAGGAGGGAGGAGGAGGGAAGAGCAGGTATTGTGACAGGGCAGGTGGGCTGGCCTACGGGTAAGGGACACTTTTTTGAAGGACGAGTGGAGAAGACAGTTTGAATGAAGAGCTGGTACTGTTCACGACTGACCAGGTACGCGGGGCAGGGCGTGAGAGAAAGAGGGAGACCCAGGTACAGAAACAGGGAGGGCTCAGTGGAGACGGGCTGTGGAGAGAGGTGCGTTTGCCTTCAGGTGTGCTGCTCTCCAGGGATGACGGGCTATCCAGTAAGCCGGGAGTTAGAACAAGAGTGCTGCCCACGAAAGGGGAGAAGTGAGCCGTGTCCACGCAGCCCGCCCCGGCTGCTGCGCTGAAGCCGTGAGGGAAAACAGAGAAAGGCCAGGGTCAGAGGCCCGAGGCTCAGTGTGGGGAAGGTCCTGAATGAAAACTGGGGGCAGAAGAGCAGGGTTCTCTGAGCACTGGAGTAACTGATACACAGAAGGGAGTGAACTCACTGAGCTTTCTCTGAGGACCAAACTGCAAAGGGCCTATTAGATAGGGTGCAAAGAAGCAATCAGATCATGACAGAATATCTGCCCAAAGAGTTTGCTGCTGTTTGTTTTCTCTTTGTTAGGGTGCCCGGGTGGGTGAGGACGGATGACCCAGCACTAAGAACATTCTACGAACACCTGCCCCAGGGCACCCAGCAGGAGGCTGGAGCTCCTCCATCACTCACCTGGGAAGGAGCAGCTCAGGAACCCCCCGTCCTGCAGATCCTGAAGGCAGGGCTCGGCCCCTTGCTCCAGATGGGAGATCAGAGGAGGCTCAGGGACCGCAAAGCCTGGTCGTGGAGAAGGATTACAAGTGTGCGGAGCAACATGACAAGGGTCCTAATACCCAGCCTTGACCCCTCTGCCCACGTAGGGCAACAAGAAAGAAATGGCCATTGGGGTAGAGAGAGGGTTTGTTCAGGGGTCTGGTCACATGGAAACGTGTATGGATATTCGCAGAAGAGTCATACTCAAAAGGCAGAGGAGGAGACGTGGGGGACAGTCCCTGCTCTTGCAATGATCTTGCCATAAAACAGAGGCAAGAATATGAGGCGCCACATACATCAGTAAACAACGCAACTGAAAGGAAGAGCAAACAGTGCTGAGCCAAGTGCAGGGATGTCCTTACCGACCGAGATCATGTTCCCGTAGTTCTCCAACATGACGTCTGCATAGAGGTGCCGCTGAGCGCGGGTCAGACACTGCCACTCTCCGCTACTGAAGCGCACGGCCACGTCCTCAAACGTCACCGAGTCCTGAAACAGTGCATTCCCGCTGTCCTGGAGAAAACCCCACAGTGCCCTCAGGACAGAGGCGGGAGGACTTTTGGGAGAAGGTTTATAGAAACGAGAGGTGGTTATTGTGTTGTGTGTATTTGGGTTGAGGTGAAAGGAAGTGAACACCCATGGCAGAGGGAACAAGGAATGAATGGCGTGTCATCCCGTGGAATGTTCCTCGAGAGGGAGCACCTGCATTTGGGGGGTGAGTCAGGGAATGAGTGGAAGGAGGCGATGCTGTATTTCCAGGAAGGATGGAGGGGCCACAGCTTACCTGGGCCCAGCTCATTGGTGTACTCTTTGCTCCTGGCCGGTCTCCTTGGCTTCCCTCTCTGCGAAAGGCAGGATGCTGAGGGGTTGGCAGGGCTGAGAGAAACGAGGTGGGTCAATTTGGCACAGCTTCCGCTTTCCTCCTCTCTTCCCCAGTGTAGAAGCTCCTCAAGCTCCGCCTTCCCCATTATTTCTCCAGCCTCGGGTTTGGCACAAAGTCACACGGATGGCCAGTGCTCTCTCCCTCACCTTCTACGTGTTTTTTCCTCTGGTCTCTCTTCATCCTAGAATGACCTCACCCCTCCCCGCCCCAAGCCCACATCACTGACTCCTGGCTTGTGGGATAACCTCTCCTCCAGTATTTGAATGTTGAAGCCACTTCTTCCAGAAAGACGTGGGGTGGGGTGGGGTGGGGGAAACAGAAAGGAGGAAAGTGTGGAACAGAAATATCCAGGGACAGGCCCAAAGCTTGCTCCTTTCGGTAACTTAATGGCTGCTCTACCTCCAGTTAGTTTCTTAGAAAATTTTCTTTCCTGTTCTTAGAAAGACACCACCTTCCCCCTGCGATTCTGAGTCTCTCCTATTAATTCCCGAGCACTAAACCACCCTCCCCACAGCAGTGTAGTACACTGCTAGTTAACGCGGCCCTGATTCCTTCCTAGTGGGCCAGCCCAACCTTCCTCCAGCTGCAGTGTTTGCGGCAACTAACCCTTCTAGAAAGTTCATCAACACATCTCAAATCAGAGTCTGAACAATTTCTTTCAGAAGATACCAGTGGGGTTAGTCACCAGTTGGTAAGACCCAAGGATTACCCTGTGGCCTTAGGTCCCCCAAATTTCATTCCAATTTTACCAAAACTTCAATTTAGGAGCAGATTGGTTTCTTCCCAGAAAAACTCCCCACGATTCTTCTTCGGTTTAGGCTACTCTTCGGCTTTTGACCAAGACCCGGGCTGTGTTTTAGTCCCTGTGGGCCCCACTCTGTCACTCTGCATCTCCCTCTACAAGCCCACGCGCTCTGTAATTCCTTGTTGCACACAGTCCCACACCTGCCTGGCCTGCACACAGCTCCCAGCAGATGATCGGTCTGCTCTGCTCCTTGTGACGTCAAAAACATAAACCTCCCAACTGTTTTTTTTCTTTTTTCCAATCCACACTTTATCATGAACATTTTCAAATACAGAGAAAAGCTGAAAGAACTGTTTAGTAAACATCCACATATTCACTTTAACGTTCATAATATGTGCTCTATCGCGTATCTGTCCACCTAACTAGGCCTCTATTAATTCATTTTATTTTTTTGCTGCATTTCAAAGTAATCGAAAATATCAGCATACTGTACCCCAAAACACTTTATGGTACACATCATCAACTACAGTTCAATATTTGTTTATGTTCTTGTTGAGGTAAAACTTACTACAGTAAAATAAACAAGTCTTAAGTGTACTATTGGGTGAGTTCTGACAAAGCATACCCCTATTTAACCCAAATTCCCCTCCAGATATATCCCAGTTGGATTTTTACTATACCCTCTTCACAGACTGGGAAAGTGTCGTTAACTCACAGTGGTTCTTCTTCTTCTTTTTTTTTTAAAGTGCTCATCACATTAAGAATTTTTTTGAATTGTGGAAAAAAATATGTAACAAAATTTACCATCTTAACCATTTTTAAGTGTACAGTTCAGCAGTGTTAAAAATACTCACAAAGTTGTATAATCTCCAGAACTTTTTCATCCTGCAAAACTGAAACTCTATACCCATTACACAACTTGCTATTTCTCCCTCCTCAATCCCTGGTCACCACAGTGATTCTTAGGCTTTAGTTTTTAGCTTCAGATTTGGAAAGGTCAGTTTCTGCCCTCAAGTTAAACATGAAGTTGGGAGACAGGCTATGTACACAAACGGCACGAAACTACCTTTGCCAACTCAGGCTGCCATAACAAAATACCACAGACTGGGTGGCTTACACACTGGAAACCTACTTCTCACGGTTCTGGAGGCTGGAAGTCGGAGATCCAGGTTCTGGCATGAGCCCTGCCCGGCTTGCCACCTTCTGTCCTCACGTGGGGGATGCAGATAGAGTTCTGGTCTCTTCCTCTAATAAGGACACTAATCTCTTCATGTGGCCCCACCCTTTCTCTAAACCAAATTACTTCCCAAAGGCCCCACCTCTAAATATCATCACAATGGGGGTTAGGGCTTCAACGTGTGAATTTTGAGGGGACGCAAACATTCAGCCAGTAACTAAACTATTTGTTAAAGCAGTGTACAGATATTTTCTAGGATGAGGTTCATTCATTTATGTTATATGTTAGATAACTATGAACTTTATGGTCCTGAAAATCACCAATGGGAAGAGAATTTAAGGTCTTATGAAAAAAAGAGGACTGGGAGATGCAGGTCAGATGTGAACCATGAGTGTGTATAATTTTATATTTAAAAAAATGAAATTAAACACCCAAGTTAAGCAGTGTCGATTATCTTCTACCTCAAATATGTTCTATATTATTAATTTTCATTTATGATTCCTTATACAGTGGAAATTTCAGGATTTCTCCTCTGGAAGTTCCAATAATATACTCTTTTCTTCTTTGTAGATAGTATGTACTAAAAGCCTACTTTTGGGGTTCCCAGGTGCCTAGTCCTCTGTCCAAAAATCTGCCTTTCAGGGTCTGACTTTGGAACTACAGAACTGCTGAATGCCATGTCCTGGGTTTTACCTCCATCAGCCACTTCTCCACAGTCTTGTCCACTTTGCTCTTTACACACGTCACCACTCAGCACTTCTAAAGCCCAGCCTCACATTTCCCCATCTACCTTTATTTTTCCCAAAGCTTCACGACAAAACCTTTGCTCCTTCTTTGCCGCTGTTTTATCTTCTGTTTCTCAGGGACTCATTTTATACTTTTAAAATCTCAGGGTTCCAGAAAGGTCTACAGAAGTGTAATTACATACACTCAACATGGACGTGTTGGCAAAACTGGTGGGGTAGGAGTTACTGAATGATACCACAGGTTTTATATACACATATACAAGTTATTTATCGTATGTGTCAAGTTGTACATATAGTAAGTGATGGAATGCAATTTCTTTGATAAGTTGCTTTGTAGAATTTTTTCTTATGAGTCTGAATATCTTTTCCAAATTTGGTGTAAGATGAGGGCAGAAACTGAATAATTTAGTTCCTCTCAATACTGATCCAAGCCCAGAATAGACTTCCAATAAATGCTCAATAATGAGGGGATTTCCAAGCCCCAGGAAGCATCTCCTCCCTGCCTCCCTCCACCCTTCTTGGCACAATACCCTGTGTGCCTCACCTCTTTCCTGCAGGAGCTCAGCATCAGGGGTCCCGGGCAGCTGGCGTGGTGGGCCTGGACTCTCATGTGACACCACTACCTATTACGAGGCACAGAAAGACTCAGGGAGGTTACGGACAGGAGGAAAACAAGCTGTAACCAACTGTAAACTATAAAGCTTTGTCCGTGGGAATCGACTCCCAGACATACCAAGAGGGGAGGGAAATTCAGGGACTCAGTCCCTGATAAACCTTATGAAAAACAGAAAAGTCTTCCTCTCTGTCACTGGAAAGTTTTCATGGTCACCAAGCCATCCAGGAAAAATCATATTTTGAAGTGGGAAACTTCCACCATGGCCCCCACTGCTTTCCTTTTCTGTACTCGCTTCTTCCTCCTCCTTGGGACACGTTGCAGACCCTCCTTTCCTTACCTGCCGCATCTTTTTGCCCAGCTTTCTTTCCAGTCTTCCACCGCGGTCCAATTTCTTCCCTGCTGCTTGCGTCAAACTCCCAGAGTCAGTTCTGGCTCTGCCCGGACAACAAATTTGGAAGTGGCCGGGGGATGCCAGCCAGAGGGCCCCCGATGCCCCACAGGGCAGCCGCTGTTCGGCCTGATGCGTCACACAATGCCCTGGACTTGGGGTTCATCAGCAGGATCGAGCTAGCTGTGGTCTCACACCTCGTTTTCCCGAATAGTCCATGAAAAGGGAAGAGGGCAGTGAACACAGCAAAAAGAAGCCATCACTGGGGATTATCTGTGGGAAAAGAGGGAGCGCCGGAAGACACACGGAAACGTTCCCTATCTGGAACATGACCTCCACAGCTGCCATCCTGGTCCAAGCCGCCAGCCCCCGCCTGGCTCCCCGTTCTTACAACTGGTCTCCCTGCGTCTGCCCTTCCCCTCCACCTCCTGTCAGTACCACGGTCAGCGCGGCGCGCTTGAAACCCAAACTGGGTTATTTCGTCTCTGCTTAAAGCCTCCCAGTCTCCAGGTTACTCAAAACAGGTGCTACACACGTGCCCACTCCCTCTGACCGTCTCTCATCCGCATTCCGAGTAAAGCCGGGGCACCAGGTCTGCACGCGTGCCTAGCACCGCCCCGACCGCGCTCCTCCGCGCCCGACCGGCGCACTCGCTCACCTTCTCCTCCACCCCCGGGCTTCTGCACCGGCTGTCCCTCCGCCTCCGGCAATTCTCAAGGCCAATGATGTGGCTCCCAAGGGCGCTTGTCCGTCACCTTCCCGGGATCCACTCTAGGCGCCCTCGGCTAAGACGGCCTCCTACCCTCTCCTTCCGACCCCGACGCCTGACCTGGCTTTACCTCTCTTCTTTCCGACGGCACCCGCCCACTTCCCGACACGGCGAGTCCCGGCAGTGCGTCCGTTAGGTACGGTCTCCCCCCCACTGCACCGGGGTGGGCTCCTGAGGGCAGGGAGTTCTGGCCACGCCTAAACAGCGCCCGCCGCAGCGGCTCAAGGAACGGATCCGGGCACGGACGCCGCGGCGGACAGTAGACGGGGGATAAAGAAAGGGAGCAAGAAGAGCGGGAGGGAGCCAGACCCGGCGGGAAAGCCCCGTCTGGGGCCGACCCGGCTCCAAGGCCCGCCCTTCCCGCTGCGACCCCAGAGTACCCGGCTGGTAGCTCGGGAGCCCGCGGCTGAGTCCCCGTCGCGCGCGGGCTGGAGGCAGGCCTTCCCGCCGGTCTCGCCCCAGGCGACCAGAAACCGGGGAAACCTGTGCCAGCTCCCCTTCCTAGTCCTCCCCCACCCACTTCCGGTGACTTTCTAGGAAACGCGGCCACTCGCTGGTCGGGACTTCCCCGGAAATTCCCCCGGGCCCTCTCGCGCGGGCGTCCCGGGAGTTCGCGCGAGGTCCTGAGGGCGCGAGGGGCGCGGGGGTCGCCGCGTGAGGGCGTCAGCGCAGCGCCCGGCGCTGGTCCGGGTTCGGTTTCCTCGCTGGAGCGCACGGGACTTTTGTGACATAAATGCATGAAAAAGTCACTTTTAAATGTTAGCCAAAAACACAAGGTAAATGATGGGCTGCTCTTTTTTAAGACATTAAAACAATCGTTATGAAAAAGTGAAGCCTACACAAAAGTTGGGAGAAGACGAATGAGCCCGCGTACACCCACGGCTGCCGCACTTGTTTCATCTGGCCCCGCCAGCCCCGTTTTTCTGGCTGAAATATTTGAAAGCAAAACCCAAAGATGTTATTTCAATATTATGTTTTTAAAAAATAAGGACATTTTCTAGCAGGACCACAATGCCGTCGTCCCACCTAAAAAATTTAAGTAATTCCTGGTTACCATCTAGTATTGAGGGCATACTAAACTTGCCCAAATATATAAAACATGACTGGCGATTGGCAAGGAGCTTCAATTTATACGTTTATAAAACATATAAAACATGCTTTTCTGAATCAAGATCCAAAGTCTACATGCTTTTTTTGGGTTATTTCTTTAAATTTTCGTTTAATTTAGACCTAGAATAGTTCCCCCTTCCATCTCTCACTCATCCTCCTTCCCCCAGTTAAACAAATTGGGTCATTTGCCCTGAATTTTTCGCATGCTGGTTTTGTCCATTTGTATCTTCATTTAATTTATTTCTCTAGCCTTGTATTTCCTGTTAACTAGATGTTAGCTCCAAAAGTTTGATTCGTGTTTGATTTACCTTTATGGGTGAGAATTATTCGTAGGTGGTGCTGTGTACTTCTTGTTTTGTATCAGGAGGCATGTAAGGTCTGACGAGTCCACTCTTTGAGATGCTAAGGTTGATCTATGAGTAACAACACCTGATAGCTGGATCTTTCCAGGTAAGTTCCCCATCAACCTTTCATTTGGTGGTTTCACCTACTGATCTTTGCCTAAGTCAACCATTTCATTAGGGTTTGCAAAATTGTGATTTTTCTAATTCAATAATTTTTGTCATATTGAACAGGAATTTCTTTTAAAGGATTTTCTCTCAGCAACACAAATTTAGGCCTATTTGGTTATCCTGAAATGTAGTTCATACAGGAAAGACAATAAATGTTTACTTTTCAATTTAATTGCCAGTGTTCAGAGTGAATAGTTGTTTGCCCTAGGTGCCATGACCAACGATGTGTTGGCTGTCCTTTGAAATGGCCATCAATGAGCCCTGCCTTCCAGGATTCACTCCATGTGCAGCTCCCTTTCACATTGTACCAGAGCTGGTGTGTGTAACCAGTTGAACATGGCAGAAGTGATGTTATGTTACTTCTAATGTTAAGTTATAAAAGAGACTGTGCCTTCCAGCTTTGTCTCTCTTTCTCTCTCTCCTCTCAGATCACTCACTCTGAGGCAGGTCAGGTGTCACATTGTGAGGAGTGGCCCATGTGGTGAGGAATTGAAGCCCTCTGCCAATAGCCATGTGAGTGAGTTTAGAAGTGCATCCTCCAGCCCCTAGTCAAGCCTTCAGATGACTACAGCACAGCTCAAAGGCCCAAAACCAACAGCTAAGTTGCTCTCAGATTCCTGATCTGCAGAAACTGTGTGAGGTAATAAATGTTTGATGTTTGATTCTAAATTTTGAGGGAACTTTTTGTGCAACAATTGATAAATAACATTTTTGGTTTGGTTTCTCCTTTTGAACCTCATTATAAGCTCATGGATTTTTATTTTTATTTATTAACTTATTTTTTAAAAAGATTTATCTATTTGGGAGAGAGAGGGAGAGACAGAGAGTGGGAGAGAGAGAGAGAGAGCATGAGGAGATGCAAGGGGCAGAGGGAGAGGAAGAGAGAGAATCCTCAAGCAGACTCCCTGCTGAGCACAAAGCTGATGCAGGGCTTGATCCCAGGACCCTGAGATCATGATCCGAGCCGAAATTAAGAGTCAGCCACTAGACCGACTGAACCAACCAGGTGCCCCTACAAACTCATGGATTTTTAAAAAAACATTCAAGGAGTCTTAATCAATTACAGTCATTATTTATGATGTTTAAATAATTTCATCTTTGGCAGGTGGGAGTACCTCTATTTTGTCTCCTGTGTCCTTTTCATCTGAGAGTCTTTTTTTTTTCCTTTAAATTTTTATTGTTATGTTAATCACCATACATTACATCATTAGTTTTGGATGTAGTGTTCCATGATTCATTGTTTGTGCATAACACACAGTGCTCCACACAGAACGTGCCCTCTTTAATACCCATCATCAGGCTAACCCATCCCCCCACCCCCTCCCCTCTAGAACCCTCAGTTTGTTTTTCAGAGTCCATCGTCTCTCATGGTTCGTCTCCCCCTCCGATTTCCCCCCCTTCATTCTTCCCTTCCTGCTATCTTCTTTTTTTTTAAAATTTAATTTAATTTTATTATGTTATGTTAGTCACCATACAGTACATCATTAGTTTTTTATATCAAGAGAGCTTTCTTTCTTTCTTTCTTTCTTCTTTCTCTTTTAAACTTTATTTCATTTTATTATGTTAGTCATCATATAATACATCATTAGTTTTTGATGTAGTGATCCATGATTCATTGTTTTCTTTGTATAAAACCCAGTGCTCTGTGCAGTACGTGCCCTCCTTAATACCCATCACTGAGCTAACCCATCCCCCGACCCCCCTCCCCTCTAAAACCCTCAGTTTGTTTCTCAGAGTCCATAGTCTCTCATGGTTCATCTCTCCCTCCAATTACCTCCCCCTTCATTTTTCCCTTCCTTCTCCTAATGTCCTCCATGCTATTCCTTATGTTCCACAAATAAGTGAAACCATATGATAATTGACTTTCTCTGCTTGATTTATTTCATTTAGCATAATCTCCTCCAGTCCCATCCATGTTGATGTAAAAATTGGATATTCATCCTTAATGATGGCTGAGTAATATTCCATTGTAACATATATGGACCACATCTTCTTTATCTATTCATCTGTTGAAGGGCATCTCGGCTCTTTCCACAGTTTGGCTATTGCGGACATTGCTGCTGTGAACGTTGGGGTGCATATGGCCCTTCTTTTCACTACCTCTGTGTCTTTGGGATAAATACCCAGGAGTGCAATTGCTGGGTCATAGGGTAGCTCTATTTTTAATTTTTTGAGGCACCTCCACACTGTTTTCCAAAGTGGCTGTACCAACTTGCATTCCCATCAACAGTATAAGAGGGTTCCCTTTTCTCCACAACCTCTCCAACATTTGTTGTTTCTTGCCTTGTCAAATTTTTCCATTCTAACTGGTGTAAGGCGGTATCTCAATGTGGTTTTGATTTGAATTTCGCTGATGGCTAATGATGGTGAACATTTTTTCATGTGTCTGTTAGCCATTTGTATGTCTTCTTTGGAGAAATGTCTTTTCATGTCTTCTGCCCATTTCTTGATTGGATTCTTTGTGTTTTTGGGTTTTGAGTTTGATAAGTTATTTATAGATCTTGGAAAGCAGCCCTTTATCTGTAATGTCATTTGCAAATATCTTCTCCCATTCTGTGGGTTGCCTC